AACAGGCTTCAGAAACCAGAACCAGACACATCATTAAGCACACAGGACCACGTCTTGCTTGCAGCTATGCTCGGGACCCCAGTGCTCTACAGCATAGAGCGTTTTCCTCCTTGGAGTGGAGGGAGTGTGAATGAGGAAGCCAGGAGACTGACTGATAGCCTGAAGAATTTGTTGGTTTGCTGAACTCCAGTGCAAAGAGGGGAAGCGTGGGATGGAATCGTTTTCTACATGATGCTTGACATACATACACAGGACATGTGCACTTCCTCTTTTGGTTTCCTTTTGAGAAAGATAAGAGGCTTGGGACTGCACGACATGCAGCCATTACTGCCTCTCATTCTGACTTAATACTCCCATCTATTTAAATGTATTATATATCTTTTTATTGCATCTTCTCTGCCATAAATCCCTCCCTGCTTTCAACTTGGAGAACATAAAGTACTGTGCCTTGAGAAAGGAAAGCTCCTGGAAGGCCTTCTGTTTCATGGCATGGTTTCACTTGCATATTAGGGCTTGATGCTTTTTTATTACTTTAATTATGTTTTATTGTGCATGACAACATAATGACAACAACAATTAGCTGGAGGAAGACCTAACAGAAAATAAGATGAAATATAGAAGCACGAAGGAAACTGGTGCCCTGCTGCAGTAAATTGGCGTCAAATTCAGTGCAGTGGCAGTGATTGTTTGTCATCAATTTGCTCAGCACTGTCAAAAGAAGCATCACTCAAAACGACACCAATGACAAAAAGGAAGCATTAAACCCTCGTGCCATAATGGTCCAATAGGTTAACTATTGCTCCTAATGGGCTGCACTCGCATTTCAACGTTTAATGCAACAATAAAAAGGCATTAATAAAACAATTCAAAAGTAGACTCTGGAATAACAACTGCTTCTCTTTTGTGCAAATGCTGTTAATATAGAGGCCTATTTATGATACTTCTGCTTGGGCAGTTTTATAATGTGAAGTCCCAGGTGGGGAAATCAATAAGCAATTACACCCTGCAATTAAAATACATGGGGAGGGGGGAATGTGGTGTGTGTGTAGGCTCTAAAGTCATCACTTAGCCTGAATTTACATGCAGTACTGTCACACAGACATAGATCTGGAAGTGGAACCTACTCATTAACCTCACCAGTCTGTGTCACCCAGGAAAGCCCCAATGTCCCCACCAGTCTGGTTTTTACTGTCCGGAGCAGAACCAAGCAGCTCAAGTAAGGAGGATCCTGAATCAAAGAAGGCTGCCTCCTGTGAAGTGCAGCTTCTTGCTTTTCCCTAAAAGATGGCACCAAACGGGCAGATTCCCTGGAGGTGCCTTATATGGGACTCCTGTAAAGGCAGGCTTAGAGGAAAAGGCTTCACTGAGCTTCTTCTTGCCGTTCTCCAGCTGTGCTCACTGAGGAGCTGTTGCCATCTGCTGGCAAAGCCTTGTGTGGCACCTCTCAGCCAGGTCCTGCTCACACCCCGGCCCCTTCACATCATTTCAGATAGGAGCCATTGGAGGAAGTTACCTGTGGGTGCAATAGATCTCCTGCAGACATCAAGTAAAGAGCATCTAGCTTCGTAGAACTGTGTGTTTAAAGTCAAGTATGATGTGCTATTAGCTGGGTTTCACTAATCATAACTTATGGATAATGTCTTTTAATTTTTGCTAGTGGCAAGTAATAAATGTAAAATCAGTGACAGAATGCACCACTGTTTTGGACTGTTATTTTGAACTTACCATAAATTGTTATGCCAACTCTGTTCTGGCAAAAAGAAGTCTGTTGCTTTCAGAAGGCAACAGCCAATCTTCATGCCTTGCACAGCTGGAGAGGAAAGGCACAGGGGAAGGGCTAACAGACAGCTACTTTCTCAGATGTGCATATGAATTTGTGACTCCTGGAGAATGAATAGGACCCTGACCTTGTGTCAGGACTGGTTCTGCTCTCAAGCTAAGCACAACTTAAACCTTCCTGCCCTACTGATCTTTTGTAGTGCCCAGCAGTCCCAACCAATCAAACTCACTTAAGCACTAAAGGCTGCCTCTTAGTTCAGCATCCTTTGATCCCTGGGAACTCAGAGCCGCTCTGGTATGAGATCCCTCTGAGCCAGCTGAGAACACCTGTGGGATTCCATTATTTGCTGAGATTCCACCTTTGAGGGAGCTTAAGCTAATAATGATATCCTGAATCAAATCCAGACTATCTGCTTGGCTATCTACTGCATTTTACAGGTGCTGGGCTGATGCTAAAAAGCTTCTCTGTTATGTGGATGCAACCTGCTTCAGAAACCAATATGACCAATCCAATAGCCACCAATGGATGTCTCCCATCTCACACCTTAAAACAGGCACATGATTTGCTACCTACAGACAGGTAGCTCATTCTGCATCCAGTTCACTGCCAATGCTGGAAACCCATAAAGTGTTTGTTCTACGCTTTTAAGTCACCAGGACACAAATGCAATACTTTGATGACTTTGTTAGGACACAGGTAGCCTAATCTATCAGAGCTTCTACTGTGAGTGCTTATTACAGTTCCTAAACCTGGATAATCCACACTGCAGTAAGCATTTTTATAGCACTAAGCTTTCTTTCCATATCAGCATAATTAAAGGAGCAACCTTTGTAAAGACAAATGAAGCTGCTGTACATTCTTCCATGAGTTTCCTTCTTGCTCTCTACTACAATCAATGTCCTCTGATTTGAGGTGGGCTTATAAAAAGAAAGGTATGTGCTATGAGGGAAAAACCTAAAGAGATGGAGAATAACATTATTTCTCATTGCATTTGAGGATTATCAGTTACACTGAACAGATTTGAACCTTCTGACACAATACACAATTCAAACACCACTGCAATACAAGCATTGCTGAAGAACTTTGAGGCATCTGAGAAGCCACAGAAACCTTCTGCTTCCCATACAAAATTGGCTGCCAATAAACAGCTTTTACTTTGCAAAAGCTTTTCCGTATCTGTTCGGTTCAGTCTTAAAGTTATTTGCCAAAGACCCCTTATGTTTCCAAGTTACCAGCTGCCAAACTCCCCCTGGAACTGAGGGAAACAGGGCAAAGGCAGTAAAAGCTAACACCTTCTTTTATGTGGATTTAGAAGAGCACGTATTGAACCTGTCATGGGAAGAGAAAAGTGGAAAGACAGGAGAACCTTCTCCTTTAGCATACACAGCATGGAAAACAAAGGAAACTCCATGAGTTGCCTGAGGATAGGCACATGAAAAGCCTGGGAACAAACCTTAGTGAAGAAATGCACCCTGTTCAGCCAGTCAACAACCTGAAAGCACCCATTAGCAAACACCAAACTACCAAGTACTCCTGAGACCACCTTGCAGAGTGGCTTCTCTGCCTGTTAACACATCTAAGATGTCCCTAAAAAGCATCCACCAAGCATCACTTTCTTCTTTTACACCAGCAATGCCAACAAGCCAGTAATGCACAGTACAACTTAATAACCACATACAAGGAGAAACCCCAAATATCTCATATAATTAAATAATCTTTATTTTATAAAACATAATACAAAGCATCTACACCATTCACTGGTGGAACATTAGTTGCTATTACACAGTAATTCAAACACAAGTTATAATTTCACACTAGCTCCACAGTTTCCTTTTACAATTTGCTCTAGCCACTATGGACTAGCCCGAGGACAGGTCCCACCATGTGCTCCATAGCCTGAAAGTTACACTTCTTCTGGGTCTGTGATTCTATGCTGGAGCCCACTACCAGACTATGAGGCCTTACTCTGAGACATCCTTGCTAGCTCTACCTCATAAAGCCATTCCCAATTGCTCTTTTGTTTTCTGGTGCCCTTGTTTAACTTCTAAGGCCTCAACACTGACCACAGTGCTCTACTTCTTCCAACCAAGCTTCCCCCAGTTCAAAGAAGGGGACAAGTCAGCCCTTAGGGGCATTATCTTTCTGAACATCTTCATACAAGTTGTTTCATAGATACCTGCAGTCGCTGACATCCTTAGTCACTTGGGCAGATATGGGCTGTACAGTCCCCACAGCAGGGGAGTAACAATGCAGTAAGCTGCACAGCAGAGGTTAGAGTCCAAATGGAGCTTTTGGCTCCATTCACTGTAATCCTTACTAGGGAAAGCCCACCAGACATCCTGTCTTCAGCTTGGGAGTCTACCTGAACAAGCAGCAGCATGCCTGATCTTTACGCGCATGCCTAGCTTATTCCTTTAGACTCCTACCCATCAGAACCACTGCAAAACAGCTTGGAGTCCTGCTTTCGTGAGGCAAGCCAGATGCTGGGAAGTGCCATGTTCTGGTGACAAAGTACTGATCATTACAAGTGCTTTGCTCAAAGCAATTTTGCCTTTAGACAACACAGCTTGACACAGACCACCAAGCCTTCATCAAAGGTGGCATAGTGTTAACACATGAAAACACCCCACGAGGTAGGTAATGCTGTACCCACTTAATAGAGTGGGTAAGCTGAGGCTAAAAGGCTCCTTGACATGCCCAACAGCAGCAGCACTGCTGGGAAAGAACCAGCACGCCCCAACTAGCCCTTCTTGTCCCCTTCAAGGCCCAATAGTCCTATCACTGTGCTGTACTAAATGAGTCAAGTTTCCTTTTCAGGACCAACTCAGCCATCAGTTGGCTCTATTAGATCTGAAGCGGTTTGGGCTCTTCAGATCTTTGGCTGCAGCAGGCAAGGCTCACAGCAGAACTGGCACCTGAGCTGTACTGCAGGCCTGGTGCTGAGGCTCAGAAGAGATGATTGTAATGATGATGGCAGTAACAAAGGAACAGCACTTAAGAACATACAGTGAAATAAACACCAGAAGCTGCCAAACCGGGGGACAGATTTCCCTGGAAATGGGACCAGATGAAAGTAACGCTGAGTTTTCCTCCCAGTCAGGTTCACTTTTTTGCTTAAAAAAGGGCCAGATTGGGTACCTCTAGCTCCTTTAATTATTGGCTGTAAATAAATGGCTATAAATGTAAATAGGTGGCTATAAATGCCCACTTTTATAAAGCGACACAGATCCAATCAGGGAGACAGAAGTGAATTCAAAGACAAGAGGTCAAGGCGTCAATTCAGATAAGGATAGCCAAGGATAAGTCTCTGTCTTGAACAGGGCACAGGACAGATTTGAAGCCGAGTAGCTTTTCCATCTTAGCCACTGTGATTTGAAGATGTGCATTGGCCATTCTTCAACCCGAAATCCCAATTCGGATCTGAGGAAACAAGCTTGTTGAGCTTCTCAGAACGGTGGTAGCCACTCAAGGAGCTAATAGCAGTATTTGGAAGGGGTGGGTGGAGTTTTAACAGTGAGGGATGAAGAGAGAAGGAGTCAGAAAAGCATTTTGCACCGGGGGCTGTGTCTTTGGGTGTACTCACAGAGGAAGGCGCCAGTGCTGATGAGAGCTCCTGGACACTACTGAGTAAGTTACTGAAAGGAATTAGGGTAGGAAACAACCACCTACCTAAAATTCTGTTCTCTCTAGAGCCACACTCTAGCTCAACCACCAAAATAAGTTTCTCCCAAAGGAAACACAGGGATAATGAATGAAGTGCAGATACCAACCCTCATTTTGCACTCATATAGCACCTCTCAAGTGAAAATCTGAAAGTGCATAACGCAGATGGATCAGCTCCATCACCCCCAATTCACAGATGGGGAAATGAGGCACAGAGTTAGAGTTACATGACTTGCCCAAGGTCACATAACAAGTTGGTGGAAGAGCCAGGAATCCCAACTCTGACAAAACACTAGAAGATGCTTCTTCCTAACACTATGAAGAGTCTCTCTAACTGGCTAGACTGTACAGGACTCTGAACGTGAAGATCTAGTGTTATGTCCTCCTCTTTGCCAAGATTCTACCACTGCTGAAGGAGTTAGCTATGAAAATTACTATTTACACCTGCACTGCTGGACTGGTTATGTTTAGTCAGTAAAATTAGCCCTTCTTTCGCTCGTATCGTTTAGTGTATGCTTACGTAGACATTGAGCCAGCCTCTGCCAGGCCAAACACTGCAGATCCAATGAATCCATGGCATAGCTCCATGGATTTCAGTGGAGTTATGCCAGGGATAAATTTGGCTCCAGAACTGCTAACGTGTGTTGGCTCCTCTCCCAACAGTGGCATTTCAGGCACGATCCCCTCCTTGCCAGATTGCGAACTCGAGGAAGTCTTTACTCAGCATCCCATCAATGGGTTTTCAGATGCCCATTAGTTTTCAAGTATAACTCCTCACTCTTCCGACTCCTCCAGGCGTGGTACTTCTTCATGCTCTTCCTCCGAGCGAAGCGGCAGATGCTGACCATGAAAACCCAGGAGACAGCGTACATGATGACGCCACCCAGCTTAATGTACCACCTGGGCTTGGGAGAAGCAAGCTCGCAGTACATCAGCCAGGCCCCCACTCCGATCCGCACCCCAGTGAAGAGGACCACGAAGAAGAAATCCACCACGTCACCTGTGAAACTGTGGTAACAGCCGATCTCCTTCAGGAACCAGCGAGCCTGCAGCAGCGGGTTAGTGATCTCGCTGCCAAAGATGACGGCATTGACCTCCGCAGCTGACTCCCCGAGTGCCAGTGATGCTGTGATACCCAAGATGCTCACCAGATGGTGGGCCAGCATCAGGGCACCCTCTGTCTGGAAGTACACACACCAACAGAGGTCAAAGAGGAAGTAGCCCAAGCTAAGGCACAGCACATGTACCTGGATAGTTGTGTTTGGTGATCCTGAAACATAAAGACACCAGGCAGAGCTTTAAAACATGGAGGCAACAAGCAGGCAGCATCTGAGACAAGGGGTATTCACCTTCAGTGTTGGCAGACTGGTGTTAGATTGTACTGATCACAGCTCAGATGGAGAAGTCAGAGAAATCACAATACTGTAATTGTTAGTCTAACAGCTGCACACATGTAATAGCCACACAACGTGATCAAATGCCCTGCCAGACTGCAGCTGGGGAAGACCATTACGCTACCAAAACACAGTACCAGTCTCTCCATTTCTCTAGTACTTTCCATCACAAAGCAGCTCAGATACCACAGTCATCATTCCTCAGGTGGGCTGGATATTGAGGTAGCAGGAGAACCCTGCTTTGTGCCAACACACACTGGAGGACTTGGGACCACAACATTCATTACTTACCTGGGTGACTCATAGGCCAGGGACCATCAATAAAACCAACGTAAGCAGAGAGGCAGGTAGCAAGGATGCCGTGGGTCAGCGTGACCAGCCTGCAGCTCCATTCATAATTCCGGTGCTTGTAGCGATGGCAGAACCAAGTGTAGAGAGAGAACCAGGCAAGCAGACTGCAGGCTACCCGCAGAGGCAGGGGGAACAGCATCCTGCCACAGGAACAGAAAGACAAAATGGATCAGAAGTCTAGCATCGGCAGTGTTAGCCCAACCCAGTGCAGCATCTCATCCGTAACCACGCCATCACTGAGTGTAAAGGGTTTCCTGATGCTGTTGCTTGCTCCTGACCTGGAGTTCCTGTGGGAAAAGGCCTACATCAAAGAAACGTATCCTTGACAATCCGGGCAGATTCACCATAGAGCCTCCAGCAAACAGGCCCCCACCAGTGTCACCTCAGCTGTGGGAAGATGCGATGAAAGCAATGGCCCTGTGAGGCAGCGAGTTCCTACCTGGCTGAACAGAAAACACCCCACAACTTGGTAGAGCACCTCGGAGGACTTCTCCAACCAGTCTACAGTGCAGGATGTGCTGGCATGTGTTAGTGCTCATCTGCACTGCCTGCGGGACAGGCTGAGGAGCGCCACATCCAGCAATAAAGCTTTGATCCAGAGCTACGCCTGCCTCTGCGTTTTAGCTCCCTGCCCATGTATCTGCATTTGACTGGTCTGTGCTGCCCCACCTGACCTACTCATTCTTGGTTCCTCCTCTCCTGAAACAACAAAACACTCCAATAAAACCCAAACACCACAGTCTCTTGCTATGTCCACTGCTAATCGACTTTGCCAGTGCAGCGACTCCAAGTGCTAATAACAGAAACACAAAAGGCATTGCCATCTCCTTCTGCTACTGAATTTTAACCTCCCAGCCCCAGCACATTTCCAGGACAATTTGGGAAGAAAAAACACTGTAAAACCCCCTTGTTCTCCCCAGGAAACTTCCAACCACAACACATAGTTCAAGCTTCTTCATGAGCATCTGAGGTCAGAGCTCAGATTAGAATAAAGCACCCCCCAGCAACCAGTGATGAGATAAAGCAGCCCACCACCTTCAGCAGCCAGTTGCTAAAAGCCCCCCAAATACACAATAATATCTACATCTCATTCATATTTATAATACCTTTCCATGCAATGCAAGATGTGTCTCGTTATTCCTGAGCATTCAGGGAAGCGCATCAAAAGCAGTGAGTCACGCTCTGGGATGCGCGAGTTGCCAGTTGTGTAATAGCAAAAGTGCCACTGGTCCTGCTGGTACCTGCTGACCAGCGCACTGGATTCACACCCAGGTCCTTCTGGAACAGCAAAAGGACCACGCTTGATGAGGAGTCAGGGTTGCAACAGGCCAAACAGGAAGGTTGGGCACTGCAAGTCTGACCAGGAATTCCTTAGGAGGCTGGGTAAACAAAACCATTATGTTATAATGGGCCTTGGGAACATGGGGAGATGAATTAAGGATGTAATTAACTGCTCTGACCAGGCGTTCCATTGACATCCCTGGTACATGAAGTCTGTATGCATCCAGAGTCAGGGCAGATAAGGCAGGAAGAATTCTGATGTGGGAAAAAGGAGGAAGAGATGCAAAAACTATTTCTCCATCCCCTGGAAAGAAAGGGGGCTATCTTCTAATTGCATGTCAAAGCCCAACGTTGTCATTAGCATATGCAATTGCACATATACATTACACGTATACATTGCACCTGTGAGCTGCCCCTGTCCCTGCACACCGGAAAGGGCAATATCCTTTAGTAATCATATTATCCTTCGCATCACCAGGAGCAACGGGGTCATGAGTGAAAGCAGGCCCTATAATAACTACAGGTGCCTAAAATCCTGGTGTAGCACAGCCCTGCTCTCCCCAAAAGCGTTTAAAAGACGAGGTGGGCGCCTCCAGCAAAGCACCGTTATTCCTCTATGGCCTCATGGGGTGCAGCTATACAGCAGAGGAGCCCAAAGCGCCTGCACACCATGCCCACCGCCCGACCCCGCATCCCGTCCCGCTCCCAGCGCCCACCTGCAGCCGGCCTCCGCCGCTCGCCTCCGGCCCCGCTGTTCTCCAGCGGCCCCCGCGGCGTTGCCGAGGATGCCGAGGCCGGGTCCCCCGCCCGCCGCAAGGGAGGCAGCGGGGCCAGGCCCTTCCCCGCGCACCCACCGCAGGGCCGCGGCTGCTCGGGTCGGGCCGCCTCCGCCGCCCGGGAAGAGGAAGCGGCGGCCGAGGGGCACCTGCTGGCGGGGAGGAGGGACGGCAACGGCCGCGGCAGCGCAGGGAAGGGGCGCCCGGCATCCCCCGGCCGCAGCGGCGCCGTGAGCATCCCTCCCTCCTCAACCCAGCCAAGAGGCTGGGGACCATCAGGGCTGGCCCCGAGAGCCCTAACGCGCAGGTCTCCAGGTGCCTCCGCGGTTCAGTGCCCGGTTGCTCACAGAGCAAGGTGCAGGTTGTGTTTCCATTGGGCACATGGAGAGCATCGTTTTAGCCTATGGGTACAGGAAATCAGTCCCACGCACCCATGACCCGCTTCAATCATCTCACGTGCCGCAGAGATAACATTGGCAAATGTGGGCTTGCTTTTCACACAGCCAGGCAGCGCCTGATGTGAAGCAACTCTTCTACAGAGCTTGCAACGCTGCATCACTACAGCACCAGCTTCAGGGTAACAAACATACCCCGTGGGGTTTATCAGTGCACGGCACGCAGCTTCAGCAGGCTGTGCAAGCACACAGCCCTGCCCTGGACATGCCCTCTCATCCAATGCTTGTGCAGCAGTTACAAAGCCTAGCAATTTCTTCTCGCTACAAGCATTCAGTGCTGAACCACATCTTTTCTCTCTCCTGCCTTCATCTACATCCACGGAGTAGCAAAATCTAGGGCTTATGCAGACTAAAGTATATGGCAAAAAAGTTCCTCCACAGCCAACACACTCCTTTCTTATGTTGCAATCAAAACAATCTCTCACACCCAGCAACAGTTTGGGTTTTTTTTATCTCATCCTGTCAAGTTTTACCCTTTGAAATACAGATGATGAGAGTATCTTGTCCTGCCTCTTACAGTACCTGTAATAAGGCTGTTTTCAACTGGATATCTCTCTATCTTACTTTTCCAGTTCAGGCCAGGCACAGGCTCCTGTTGCTACAAGATGCTCATCCTTCAGCTATTTCAGCACGACAGCCTCACTAGCATTAACAGCAAGTTTGCTTCTCTAACAAACCTTAGGTCTCATCTTTTCCTTCACTTTTGCTGGACCAGGCACCAGCCCCCTCTAACAGCATCAGTAAGAACCGAGATGGAGCTGTTCTTAGCTTAGGATAAAGAACAGGGTTGACAGACAGAAAGCTGCAGGGCTAACATTGACCCATAGCACAGACATTCAGCAGTCAGGAAGAACAACGGAGATGGTTGCAGATCACTCTGAAAGTCCTACCAAGACCAGGACCATTTAATGTCTGAGGTAGAATGGGAGGGGAGGGGGATATAGTTCTAGATTGCACAATGTGCAAAACATGCATCTAGTGAGATGCAAGGTAGCAAGTGGATTGTGCCAGAAGTTAGGAGCAGCTTGCACACCCATTTCCTTGTTTGCTGTGTGCAGTGTCAGCCATTTAAATAGGCAGGCTGGGTAACAGCATTCAGCAAAACAGCTCAGGCCAGGAAACTCTGCTAACAGTTATTTGCACGCTGCTACATGGTGTAGTACAGCTGCACCCTCCCTCAGCAGTACATCCCTTCTACTTTCTGTACTTCTTCTAAGGAGAGCTTACAACAGTGAACCTATTGGCTTGCCAACACTGGGAAACTTGTCCCACAAGAGCTGGAAATACACAAGAGCTGGAAATACACAAGAGCCCAACAGCTATTTGCGACTGTAAAAGCCCTCAAGGATGTTTGACAGGTAAAAACCAGGCGCCTGTATTAAAAATGACATTTCTCTGACATATTAGCAAATAAGAAATCCAATGGGATAGCAAGGGTGGAACCAGGTGCTTTTCTAGCATCACATTAGAGGATTTAAGGCTAAAACTAAGCTTAGGCACTTGTCTTTGCATCTCACAGGGCAGCTTCCATCAGTTTGGTTTTGCATGCAAACTGTGTGCACTGATTTACTGTCTCCACAGGTGAAGGAAGAGAGTTTCCTTGTTGGAAGCCAAGCCCAGGCCCACTTCCACCCCAGACAGCCACGCAGCAGTGATTTAGGACATCTCATAACTCTGTATTCTCCAAATACAGCGTAGACAAACCGCCTGCAATCCCAGCCTTCTGAACTGGCCATTCCTAAGATGAAGCACAGCAACAGAGAGGTTTTGATGCTAACAAAGGGCAACCTGGCATGAAGGACATGATCAGAATTTAAGTTACCCTGTGACCCATCTAGAGCAAACACCTCAGTTTTACGGCTTATTCTCAAGTTCCCTGTGATACAATTCATTGCCGAGGCAGGTTATGGGTACATTAGTCACAAATCTAAGCTTCAGCTGACCTTCATTTATTCTTCACACCTTAAACCTGAGCTCTAGAGCATATGGCTCAGTCCTGTGCTTGTTTCCCCACCAGCTCACTCCTTCCTGAACTGCATTAAGGGCATGAGCCAGAGCTTGGTCAGTGACTACTAGCCTTAGCATGCTCAGGCTCCCCTCAAGCCTCTCTTCCTCAGGCTTCATTAAGACCCAGAACAAAAGAACATTACAGCAATCATTTCTTTTGAACAAGAGAGCACAACTTTATTAGAAGTCTCATCACTCAAGAGGAGGTTTTGGAAGAGCACAGTGACTCTGGCAAGAGTTCACATCTCAAACGCAGGCCCCCAGAGCAAGGCTCCTGCTTTTCTAAAGGCAACAGCCTGCTCAATTCCCTGCCTTCCCAGCTGCAGTGCATTCACGGGGCATGGCAAAAGTTAGTTCATGTCATTTCTTAATCTCTCCACGCACCTTCTTCTAACCCCCAGCCAAGGCAGATATCTGCCCTGAACAGTGCCGAAGGCAGTGAGATAAGAGGCATGGAGGAGCTAGTAAGGCTGTGTCCCCATAGCAGCTGTATTCCCATTGCTCCCTTCCTTCCCCTCTGCAGCAGGGGTGACACCTAGCTTGAGCAAGAGCCACACACAGGCTGTTTCAGGGGCTCCTCTAAGAAATGAGGAAGGAAAGGCAACCAGCCTTCCTAAGCCTGAGGGCAACACAAAGCCATTTGTTTCTCAGCTGTAAATGAGGCTTTTATGGAAGAGTAAATCTGAACTGCAGCCTTAACCAGAGGGAAACTCACATTAAAACCCCAGGGGAAATGTCAGAACACCACTCTGAGAGGTAAAACAAGAGACCTGGTCCATACTCCAAGACCTGCTGGTATGGAACAGATTGGGATCTGCCTAAACACTACTGTCAGCCCTGAAAATACAGTCACTTATTGCACTTGTTAGCCATGCGTTCCGCTTAGGTGGCTTGCAGCTGAGCCAACCCAGAGCAGAAAGAGCATCCAGAGAGGGGCTCTTCTCTCTCTCTCACCCACAAAATGCCTGTTTGGTTTCTTTGAAGCAATCCAGGACTAGGTGAATACCTGCTTATGGAATTTATTGGCACTAGTCTAATTCTTGTCTCTTGTTTGCAAGAGCTTCATTTAATCCCAGTGAAGTCACAGTGCTCTAAGATCAGTATCTGCTTGAACACAAGTATTAAAAAAGGAAGAAATGTATCATTAAAAGCAATGAGGTAAAACATTACCTCACCTCAAGTACCATCACTCCACACAGGCAAAGGACAACTCTACCGTACCCAGCAAGCACTTGAGTCTTGTTCACAGGCTTTCATCCAAGTACTTAGTCAAGTGTGTTGTCAAGCTCCAGGGAGAATGAGGCTCAATAAATCCTTCCTAAGTCACACCCCTACCTGGTCCCAGGGGCAGGGAGATGGGGTTTTCTGCCTGTACACTGTAAGCCAATTCTATGTCCAAAAGGATCACAGGACATACAGGCTGTGCCACTATCGGTGGCAGAATGCATAGGTCAGGTATTGCCTCTCTCCTTGAGACTGCACCATTACTGAGGAAGCCAGGGGATCAGAACTCTTCAGGTGTGCACTCAAACCTTTCTTCTGTCAGCTTCCCCATGTTCCTAGTGCTGGTTCATTTCCTCCAGGCATAGCCAGGGCCAGAAAGTCAATTCCATGTCACGTTTAGGAGTTCTTTTCCTAGGAATAAGCCAGAACCCTATCCCAGGGGATTATCCACAACCCATTAATGAGCGGTCAAGTGCCCGTTAGCTTTCGCAGGTGCATTCACAGTCCTCCACCTTGCCCAGGAAATATTCTTCTTCATCATTTTCCTCCTGACAAAGCGGCAGATTTCAACCATGAAGCCCAAAGATACAACGTACATGGCCAAGCCTCCAGCCTTGAGGAGCCAGCTGGGATCAGGGGATGTCACCATCGCATGCATGATCACAGCTCCTCCTCCAATTCGAAGCACCAGGAAGAGGGAAACGAAGAAGAAATCCACAATGTCTCCCAGGAGAGTGTGGTACCAGCCCATTTCCCGCAGGAACCAACGGGTCTGGAGCAGAGGGTTGGTGATCTCGCTCACAAACACAACAGCATTGACTTCTGTAGCAGACTTCCCGAGCCCCAGCACCATGATCATGCCGCAGATGCTCAGTGTATGGTGGAGCAGCATGAGGTCCCCCTCTGTCTGGAAATACAGGCACCAGCCCAGGTCAAAGATAAAGTAACCCAAGGTCAGGGAGAGCACGTGGATCTGAAGAGCTGTGTTTGGTGAACCTGAAATGAAAGATGTACATAAGCCTGGGATCTGACTGAAGACATTCTTCTATGATATGGAGCAATACAGATTGTGAGCATGCCTCTTTCCTCCTTAGTTTCCAGCCTTTCCTATGGGTCAGCGGCCAGGCTGGAAGCAGGAGGTCTGGTTCTGCTCTCCCTTCATGCTTCAGCCTGCTCAGCAGACACAGGCAGGCCACCCATCCCTTCAC